CAAACACTGAAGAGTTGTGCTAATGGACCTGCTTTTTTTTTTTTTTTTCCCCCTTTCATTGCATATGACAGCAGCATTTTTTAGTCTCTGATGACCACAATGTTTTGTTGCTAGAAACAACTAGAAATCAGCCATTTATAGAAATGTTTAGGTTCTGCATCATTAACGGAGGTGAAAAAGGAGTGAGTGTTAGTTGCAGATAGGGTTTGCAAACAAGCTAATTCACTTCAAGTTTATTTATTTGTCTAAAGCCTAGGTGTAAGGTCTTTCTGAAGAAGCTTGAGGCCATACTAATATCTGAGAGTGCTGTTTACTGTGAATTTTCCAAACTAGAGGAAAAAGAGAGAGAGAAAATGCCACAGAACTAAACACATACTGAGCTTTTTAAACTAATTGTTAAAGTAATTTGGTGTGCTGTTGGCCACACAAGTAGGGAAACAGACAAATTCAGACATTTCTACAAATGCAACGTACTTTATGATGACAAACAGATATTCCAGATTTCAAGTAGAACAGAGCACATGATACTTAGCTTTTCTGTCTGCAGCTATGGGTCTGTCTGYGGAGGTAGTTTGCCTTTCTGTGTTGCCTTTTATATAGTGGCAGAAAATTAAAATTAAGCTAAAGCAGAGAAAAGTGAAAAATAGGAAGTCAGAGAGGAGAARGGCCTCTCCCAAATTTTCCATTTCTGGTTGGGCATTTCTCTTATCTTTTTTCATYCTGATTTGTGATCTCTTACACATTCCTTCGCCTTTAGGATTCTCGATGGGGTAGGGCAGGAAGAATGTGGCTTTGCTTCCTGCCCTTTGTGTTTGGAAGACCACCAAAGGAATTCAGTCCATTAGTATTTGAAGAACTAAAAAACCCACATGCACTCAGTTCTCTTATTTTGAACCCAAAAAAAAAATGAAACCAAAACATTACAAAATAAAGGATAGACCCATGAAGGTTCTGGACACAGCTGCTTTCAAGTATTTATTTTTGTCAATACTTGCTTTTGTCAATACTTTCAATACTTGCTTTCAAGTATTTATTTTTGTCCCAGATGGAAATGTGTGAAAAATTCTAAGGTAAGCATTAAAAAAAAAAAACAAGAACAAGCATTCAAGAATAAAAAAATCCTGATGCTGTAGGGTCAAATGAATATAGGAGGGGCTGGAGACGATAACATGATATTAATGGCATAACTTGTTTGAARTTATGTTTGTAGTGAGGTAGGGGTTGGTCTATTCTCCCAGGTAAAAAGTGACGAGAGGAAAAATTGCACCAGGAAGGTTTAAAAATTGGATGTTAGGAAAACTTTCTTCATAACTAGAAGGGTTATGAAGCATTGAAATAGGCTGGGTGGTGTCACCATCCCTGGAAGTGTTCAAAAAATRTGTRCAYGTGTCATTTACAGACAYGGTTTAGCAGTGATCRTGGCAATGCTGGGTTAAATGTTGGACTTGATGATCTTAGAGGCCTTTTCCAACCTCAGTRATTCTATGATTTGTTTCTATGAAATTCTGACTGCTAYAGTTTTGATTCTGCTTCTTCCTTAAACTTAATTTCCGGTAGTAAACTCTTGTACACAAGATATTCCTGTGAATARTCAGAAGTAAAACTACTGAAGGAGCCAAAGTCATGGACAAGTTTGATTCTTTCATACTCTCATCAARCATCAAAGACTTTGGCTTTTTTTTTACCCTTTAATGAAAAGCTTGTCAGAGTGCAAATGTACATTTACACTRGGCAGTCAGCCTAGTCATGGATCCAAGAGCCTTCAATGAGTTTTTGCTGTCTTCATCAACACCCTGTGCATCTGCAGCACTGATTCATTATTAGCTGTGCCAGCTTTGCCAGCCATATCCCTGAAAGCAGTGGAGCTGTGTTTATCACACAGGACAACTTCCTCAGGCTCCACACTCACAYCCCTTTCCTGCTCTGCAGAAGACCTCGTTACCCACGTGATGAATAGAGCTACTTTGTAATGGAAGTTATGGCATGATTATTTACTAACAGACTGGAATTAAGAAATTCCATTATTAAAAATTCATAGCTGTTTCACTTATGACAGTTTTTGAGAGAGGAGTCAGTGAATAATTTATTTGCCATAAACATTCAGCTTATCCTTATCTGATGTTTTTGTGCAATATTCCTTCTTGAAAGTTTGAAAAAAACCCACCAAACCAAAAAAMCACCCCAATGACAACAAAAACCCAAACAAAAAACCAAAACAAATCCCACCCAAATAAAATTACTCTCCTAGCCAGAATAAGATCGCCCTCTCACTTTCCCATATTGTTAAAACCTAAATTTGTAGAGTTTTCACTGCATGTAGTTGATACTTGTGGAGTTTGTACTAGCAAAAGTAGTTGTGTGTTTGTATTTGGAGGCTTTGCTGGCATAATGACCCAAGTAAAATCCTTGTAAGYATGGATTAAGTGTTTTATTTTGGGGGCAGTTCTTTCTTGACTGCTGTGGTTTTATTGAATTACCATGAAGATATTCTGATTCAGAGGTTTTTTTTTTTAAATATTCCCACTTCTATTGGGGATTTGAATTTCTAGTTTAGGTATTTGTTGCAGATGAGCATCTCTCTGAAGCGAAATGTATGCACTGAAATGCTTATTCTGCRTTTCCTAGGCAAAGGGTTACTTCCTAAGTCCAAGCAGTGGTAATTCTGTTTCAAAAACCACATTTTATCATTGGCAAGTACAAACCAGTGAGTCATGACTTAGTTTTTAGTTCAGCACAGATTAGGTGCCAGATGCTCCATCTATGCACAAGCATGAATCAATTTTATCCAAGATGTTSCTTTCTGAGCTCCCAAAGTGGTTGCAAGGAGCTGTGTCATCTTTCCTTCCTYCGGCTAAAATGACAGAGACAGGGTATCCTACTAAAATGAAACTACTGTGCCATTTTTGGAGATGTGTGCTGAATACTTCCAGTGGATATTTAGAAGAACTRTTTTGTAAAAATTACCTGTGTTGTTTTCCTTTAAATGTCTTTTTATCAAGAATCTGCCATGCGTGCAGGACGTGTATTCATCCTGGTCTGCAGAACAAGGGCCCCATGTCAGTAAGGGCTGGGACAGCTCTCTCAGGGAGGACAAGCACAGAGATTGAGCTTGTGAAGCCTCCTGAATGAGGGGWCCTGTATTGTTCCATGGTTTCCTAYTGAGTACAAACAAGGGGTAGAGTGCATGTAATTAATCTCATCGTGGTTCCTCTTATTTTCATAATAAAAAACTGAAATGCAATTGCCATTCACAGGAAGGTGAGTTCACAATTTGTAAGACACTGTACTAGCAGATGTAAGAGTTAAACAGAAAAGAAAGAGAACCTTGTGGCTATAAAGTACAATGCCAATATTACAGTGATTTCTGGATTCACATGAAATTTTCAAAGAAACAGCAATCTGGTTTCATACAATTTGGAAATGATGAACAAAATTTACTTTGATATAACTTTAGGGCATRGGAACAGGAAAGGACACAGGGAAGACATCTAATCCATTGTCTAGTCCAACTGGGAGCCTTCATCTCTCTGGACAGATGTTTGATGAGGAGCTGAGGTGAGGGATACGAAATGCCAGGTGGCATAAAAAGTAGTTTACTAGAAAGAAAAATTTAAGTCATGACAATGTTTCTGTAAATTTGGATTTTTTGAGCAAGTTTCTATAGCAATGCTAACAATAAAAAACTATTTGCCTAAAGCAGGATTTGAGCCTTCTCCAGTAAATACYGTGTGAAATGCAACCACTCTCTATATTCTTGCAGAGAATAGCAGTTCTCACCTAGKTGCAGAAGTGTATTAGTCCTGGTCACAAGAAATACCATTCAAAATTCTTCTTAATTGTAGCTAATGTAACTGGAGAGCAGTGTAGAATGATGAGCCCAGAGGCTGTGGCAGACTCTACCCCGGTTAAGGATAAACAAGAAATTGTGTCTGAAGAACGATGTAACTCATTTCAGAACCCAGCAGATCGTTTAAGGCAAAATATACTCAACTTGATATGGCAGTGTCTGAGTTTTCAAGCATATCCATACAATTCCACTGAGGTTAGTGGAATATACAAACACCAGAGGCAGAAGTGATTTCTCTTTGAACCTCAAATCTTTGCACTTGTCCAATTCAGTGTGTTGTTTGGGGGTCTTGTATTTTTCCAGCTTTCCTTGGAAACAACTGCATGGACCAAATGTTAAGGAGGAAAAGAAAATGCAAGGAGGCAGTAGAATAAGGTGCTTTCAAACACATCAGCAAATACTGGGAACTGTTCCCAGACATGGTCTGAAAAGAAAAAAAAATGTTTGATTGAATTTGGAATTTTCTAAAACATCTGCTGCTYCAGTTTGATAAGCAAAATGAAACATAGGAAAAAATTATCTCAAAATTGTAGTTCAAGAAAATAACCTGCTTTCTAAATTATGAAAGGCATATTCTTTTCTTGTTGTAAGAGAAATGTATGAGTGGGAGCATCAGTTTTGATGTGGACTGTTGGTTACTGTGATTGTGTCACTGTTGACATAACATGAAATTTACCCACCTTGCAGTTCTAAAGTGGTCTTTCTTCTGCTGTACAGTGATGATTTTTTCTTCCATTATTGTGTTGTAGTTTTTGTGGTATTTTTTAAAAGAAATGTGCTAAGTTGATAAAGCAGGACAGATATTGACACCTCCTGGCAGTTTCTGGAATCACCCGAGTCAGGTCAGCCTTTGGGTTTKTAAGTCACGCCAAGACTGCACGCAGCTGCTGTGACAGTTTCTTCCTTGCAGGTGTCAGCTATTCCATGACACTGCATTTGTCACCAACGTAACTTTGGAGGCTGTCAGGATGTGTAGTAACCACCTTCTGTAAAAAGACATCTACCAACATAGTGAAAATGCTATTCTGTAAGAAAGAACATACATAATTGAAAGCACACATGTGCAAACCCTCTGAACCACTGCCACGAACTTACCTGAACTAGCCTCACCTTGCCCTAGTGATGAAGGGAAAGGGATTATAAGGCTGTTTTGAAATGCTCACCAGATTTTGTTTGGTGCATTTRATTTTATTAATTTTTCTCCCACTCCCTTACAGACTGCACCAAATAAGTCACAGAGTTTATTGTTTTGGACTTGTAAATTGGAAAAGAAGTCAAGCGAGTAGTCTGGAATGCTGGGACCTTGCAGACCTTGGCAAGCAGTTTGCAGCCACAGTGTGAATGTGCTCTTGTWTGGAGTCTTCCTCACCCAGAATAATCAGGTCTTCTTGGCTTGTCCTCATTGTTCAACTGTGAGAAAAGACAGCCTTTATTCACAGTGCTCATTTGAACCTTTGGGGACAGCTACTGGAAATTTAGTAGAGATTATATATTTATTTATTTGCTTTCCTGAGAGCTGTTGTTGATCATTCCAGAGCACTGCAGAATGATGTGATGTTAACACACATAAACTGAGTAACTCAGCTTGTCAAAAACCTGTTTGAAAATAAATGCATAAAATAGGAAAAAAACGCAAAAAAAACGGAACTGGAATAAATATGTGCTAAAAGCCCTTTTTGTGACTGCTGAATCTATAATATTATTGATATTTCCTTGTAGCCAAAGGATTGCAGAGGAAAAGCTTCCCAGCTTTCCTTAGGTTCAATCCTTGCATGACATGTTTCTTAGCTAGAATCCCCGTGTTTCCCAATCTGGATTGCATTTGGGGCTACATTGTGTGTACACTTTCCACAAATGGAAGGTGGAGAATCCTAGGATGAAGAGAAGAGGTGAAGAGAATCATTCCCTGTTACTTCAAGTTTCTTCCTTCGTGAATTCATTGGTTTGGCTCCTCATTTGGGATCTTCTCACAAATTTTAAAGGCCATAGCAGTTCTACCTTTGTGCTGCATGCTTCAGCTGAGGTGCTTCCGTAGGAAGTTTATTTGGTGCCGCTGGTCTGCAGCGTGCTCTCTTCGTAAGGAGGCACTGGGTCTGGAGAGAGCTCAATGTGAGCCTCTTCCATGGAAGTCTTCTTGGTGGCCTCCTCATACGACGGAGGCAGACACACGGACAGGAATGTGGCATCGGGGAGCAGCGTGGAGTAGTGGAAACTCTGCTCGCTGTTCCAGGGCAGCGCAGACAGGAAATTGGACACGTCGTGCTCGGGCAGGGCCTCGGGAAGGTCGATGCTGAAGATCTGCCCCTGCTGGGTGGGACGCTGGCAACGGCGGTACAGGAAGAGCAGCAGGAATGCCAGGAAGAGCATCATGGTGGCAGGCAATATGATACACAGGAACGGCTCCACGTCGTCTTTGGTTGAGCTGGTCTGTTGTCTGCTCTGTAAGCAAAGCAAATAGCAAGGGTGTTGGATTGCTGGAGATCTCTTAATCAGAGAGCAAAAATACATTCCCTGTCTCTGCCTCACGACATGGCAGTAGCTTTTCCAAATTTCTTTCTCTCTGAACTAGCATCATTCAAGCAAGATGTTTTGCTAACTCATGAATTCTGTTTGCTGGCGCATTAAGCCAAATCACAACCTGAGACAAAAAAAGAAACAGAGAAGGTGCAAGGAGTACTGGGTTTCTAGGAAACCCTGTCTCCAATAGGGAAAAAAACCCCCAACAATATGGAAGTATATGTAATTTTGTTTGACATTTATTACTCTTGGATTATAGCGGGATCAGCTGATTTTACAGGAGATCCGTCCTTTTAAAAGAGCCTTTTAAAATTTGGGAGAACACTGAATTGCAGATGAATAAAGCTGGTGATCCACCATCAGTGTTGTTTCTTTGTATTTGGAAAACTGTTTKAAGAACAAATCTAATGACAACTAGCCCTTACAAACAGGTCCCGCTGTCTACAACACCTGCTCTTTGGGTTGTTCTAACCTCAGAGGCCAGCTCCAAATTAAACACTGCATGCCAGGACACGTGGGACTGGGGCTTTTTGTGGAGCTTGTTCTGCCAGGTATCATTTTTCTCTGTTTAAAATTATGGAAAAAGAACTTCAGGCATAAGAGTAGTAACAGTTGTGAAAGCAGTGTCAGCTTTGTTTTCTGCAACATGTAGCACAAAAACCTCTGTCCCGCTGCTTTTGAATTGTGATGTAATCTTAACATCTCTTATGAGAAAAATTAACAAAGCCATTTGTGCCTTCTGTTATACTCACTTTAGTTTTAAAATTTAGTACATCTTGTTTCCAGTCTGACTATCTTCTAATAAATGGATCTTATTCAGAGTCTAGTCTAGGGAGGGACAAAACCCTAAACCCTATAACATTATTTATTATCAACTTGTTATTTTGTAAGTTCTTGCCAAATGCTATCAGATGTTTTTTTCACATTTATATGATGAGACTGCACAGTCTGCACAGGTCAATGGAGCAGATTTCCTTTATTTTGGGTGAAGGTGCCTATTCAAAATAGGAGAATTTAAGCGGTTCTTTCCTTCAAGTGTTTGAAAGCAGGGATGCAAACTGACCATTTGCAGCACTGCTTTGTGAAAAGGACAGTAACCCCAGTGCCTCCTTCTTAGTCTACAACAATTTTCTATGCTTATTCTTCCAAGAATCAGTCATTCTTCTAACTACAAAATCACACTGTAACCTACATTAAGCTGATTACCTTCCAGGCATTTGTAACCTCTTTGCTTTATTGTCATATTATGAAATTATTGTTGTGTGGTCATGCCCAAGAAAAACAAAGCAAATAGGRTTTGACTCCTAACAAATAATGTAGGGGAGATTTCTGCCTTATTTCCACCCCGCCCCCCCTCCCCCCCAAGGTATTGTGGGTCTGAAGCAAATGCATTAAAGTAATTGYAAAATATACAGAAACCTTTGCAGATTGGCTATTAAGCTATTTTTCCCCACTTGGTCTTTTACCCAAAAATGCTTATTAAAGAACTATTTAATATTTACTGATAATTTTTTATTAAAGAATTTCTGGCTGTATAAGCTGTTGTTTTACCTGRCCATTCAATGAGTGACAGGAGAGAGCAGAAATGGTAGAAATTGTTCCAGCTGTTCTTCCAATGCAGGCATTAAGTAAAGTTTCAAAAACGAGGGGATTTTTTTTAAAGTTTGTTAATGCTTTTTTTTTTTTTTTAGTGTGTCTTAGGAGGTGCATAAAACACTTCAAGGGAAAAATAGGAAAACCACTCAGTATTATGTTTGTGCTCTACGGATGTGGAGACTCACTGATACTAATAAGTTACCAATAATCTTGTAATATGTAGTAAATATTTAGAAGAGCTGAGCCYGTACTGGACAGCATTGCTCACAGTGAGGAGCTTGTCTTTAAAATCCAAGTCTAAATTTGGGGTTAAACTTGTAAGGAGCAGGCTTTCATCTGGGTTAAGTGTTGTTCTAAGGGCCTGTGAGTTTTACAGTATCGTGGTACTTTGGGAGGTCAGAGAGTGAGCTTGCCAGTGTTCCCTACATGAGATTAGTAAAAGGTATATAAAGTCCTGATTATAATTTAAACTCAGTGCAGCTTCCCTGTAAATTTCAGTGAAATTAAATTCATGTGTGGAATAATGGCCAAGGACAGTGGAAGCACAGGCAAATGTTAGGGTTGCCTGACCCATCCTGGATTCATACAAATACTGGACTTCCAAAGGGAAAGTTAAGCTTGATGGAAGGAATTAACAAATTGTCTTTTGACTCAGGGAAATACTTTGCTCCAAAGCCTTGCAATGAAATACTCATCAAGAGAAATGTGCAAAATCTATTATTTTTGGAGGAGAAAGTTTCCGTCTAATAGTAAAAAAATGGAAGAAGTGCAACTATTTGTAGTATGAGTTAGCTCAGATGGCCATGGTTTGTGGCCGTGCAGCTACAAAAGGACACTTAAGGGTCTCAGTGTGCTACTGACCTAAAAACTCTTCTTGTTTAAAGGCCTTCCAAGAGCAAGCTACAGCATTGCTTGTAAAATTGCAAAACCAAGCTCTCGAGGCTGAATAAATGCCAGCATTTTGGAAATCTGTGAAACCTTAATTTGATCTGTAGCACACATAATTTTTGATTACATTACTGTGCACAAAGTGCCTCCTCAGGGCTGTGACAGATCGTTTAGGGAAGAAGATGAGTGCTGTGATAGTGCAGGGTTCTCCGTTGCAGSATTTGTAGGGTGTGTAGTGACTGAGTCAGAAGATTGTGGGAAGAGAATGGACTGCCTGCTAGTGTGGGATAGCAAATGCTCTCCTGGGGACCTGTATTCCTGTCTCTGCTACTCAGTGCTCTGGGGAAGGGGCAAGACAGAACAGTGGAGGTGTTTGTTGTGGGTTACTTGTTGGTTATGTTTTATTTTGAGTACTTGGGTATGGTCTGCAGAAATTCTGCACCTGCATTGCTGTCACTGAAGGTGAAAAAGCAGCGCCGTGAACCTGCGAATACTTCATTGCACTGAGGGATCTGGGCAAAAATTACATCGGTTGTTACAAAGCAGCTCATTTTTCTCTTCGCTACCGTAGTCAGATGGTTGGACTAGAYATCCATTGCAGGCCCCTTCCCACTGAACTACTTCTATTTTATCCTATTCTATTTCAAAATAACCACACAAGTGCCTGGTGGCTATCTATTCAGTAATGTGTGCAGAAGAAGACACAATAAATTYGTTGTTTGGAGAAAATGCAGTGAAAGATGCTGAGGAAGGTGGGGAAAGMAGCACTCTGAATGGCTGGTAATGAAGTGAATACAATGTCCTCTATAGCTGTGAAAGAAGAGTAAGTGTGTTTTACTGTGATCTGCAAATAGTAGCCTGTGAGGCAAATAGGATTAAGAATTAGGCAATATTAGAGAATCATAATGTATGCTGAGTTAGAGGGGACCTGTCAGGATCATTGAGCCYAACTCCTGGCCCTGYGTAGGACACCCTTAGAGTCACACCATGTGCCCRAGAGCGTTTTCCAAATGCTTCCTGAACTCTGTCAGGCTGGTGCTGTGACCCTTTTCCTGGGAAGCTGTTCCAGTGCCCAGCTACCCTCTGAGTGATTTTCTTTTCCTCATATCAAACCTCCCCTGACTCAGTTTCATGCTTTTTCTGTGTGTTAACAGATGACAGTAAAGAGCAGCTTTCCTCAGTCTGTGTTTTAGAGTGTCCATAGCTTTTTAAATACAGCTAATGTTAAGACTTTTCTGTCTGGATGAAACAATTCGTAGGCCACTTAGTGTACTATTTGAGTTGAAATCATTTTTAGTAAGTTAATACTGCTACATAGATGCCCAGAACCTGAGTAAGGAATTATATMTACATTTTGATACTGCCTCCTGCCAAACATTACGTGGACTGATTTTCCTTTGTGATGCAGCTCCAAAAGCTGATGGACTTGTACTTGGTATCCATATACATATATCAAATGTATTAGGRGACAATTGATCAATATTGGTTCCTCTTTTTCTGTTGTGGTTTTGTGCCTATTTCTGCAATGACTGCCTGAAGGGAGACTGAGGAATGTTGCAAAGATTTTGGCATAAAACTTGGAAAATCTAACAGGCATTAAAAAATTATACCAAAATAGGAATAATTTTAATACAATGCAGCAAAAGCCACTTAATTTACAAAAAAAAAAATCTGAAATTCTAAGCTAAAACTAAAGTTCTAAACTGACCTAAAACTAACTTCTAAAGCTAAAACTCTAAAACTAGAAAAGTAATCACATGTATAGGTATCAGGTATATCTGCTAAACTGGAAAATAGTTTCTAGAATTTAAACTGAATCTTCATTAATTGAAAGTAAAATGATGGCTGAATTTATTTAAGATAAAATCCTTTACTCTTTTACATCTGAAAGTTTCCACACCAGGCATATGAAGTGACTGACAAAATTATTAATCAACTGGYTTGGTTTGATGCTGCTTCACTGGAGATCAGCGTGCTCTGCCTGTGTCATCACAAGCAGCTATTGTCAGGCTTGTAAGTGACAAAACAGGGATTTGACTTCCAGCAGGGAATAAGTTACAGACACATAAATATGGGAAAATACCCTTTATAAAATAGAGAAATGCAGAAAAAAGCATTATAGTAAAAAGGACCRTCTCTCTAAGTAGTCTTTTCTTTCTCAGAACTGATTCTTAGTAGAATAGTTTGAGTATTGTAGGCTCATGTTTATTCTCCTCTTTTCCTTTWTGTATTTGTAGGACTGAAGCAGAGGGCCACTTTCCCCCAACCACTGAGCACATACTSGAAGCAGCAAAGCCTTTCATTAGTAATCTGTCTGCCCACGTTTTTTAACATGCTGAGCGTGTACAGTTGCTAGCTTAAAGATTATGTGACCCATATCAGTTAAGATGAGATTTCACTCGTGACTGCTGGTAAAGGAATAAAAAGCAGAGTGTAGCTGAGTTGTGTGGAGTATCCATGATGAGTAATGGAATGGGCTTGSAGCTGAACTGTGTGTCTAGGCAAARGAGGGGTAGCACCTGCCTTGRAGGGAATGACCTAATAAGGCAAAACACCAGTTTAAGGAAAGCTTTTGTCTAAGGATAGAAAAATGGGAGTTTATTTTGCTTCCTGAAATTCCACTGAAGTGATTGAGTTGTGCTAAGATTTATTATGTTGTTAATGATTTGCTAGAGTACTTAGAACTCTATTAAAATTATTTTTGTTAATATAGCCTGTATTTATACTAATATCTTTTGAAGTTGAATCAGGAAACCGATACTTCTGAAATGTTTTGAGTGGATTCAGAACAAAGTCTGCTTTGAAGTTATTAGGGTGTGGTCCACCCATAGGTGCTTTTCCAAGCTCTATCCTGCTTCTTGAAGCTGATTCATTGTTGCTTGTAAAAGGCAAAAACATAAAACTCTGGCAAATAGAAAAAACACTTTTATGTGGTTTTGTATAAATTAGTAATAACATGTAATTTAGAAGGGAGCCTGGATTTACACAGAATTTTCAAATACTTGTTGGAATGTGACTCTGGTTATGCTATTTGTTTCTCGCTGTCAGATAAAACCAGGCTCGAGGTGTGAAGAAGAGATTGCCATTGCTATTCTAACTCTGGCAATGTTACTGATGAGACAGACTTTGTTAAAATTGTGGAGGCATTTAAATACTACTTTTCCCCCTGTTTTGCCACACACACACCTACCCCCATTTATTTTACAACCGCACACTTTATATACATCAGCTGAGTCCGGTGGCCAGTTCATTTGCTAATGCAGCTTGCTTTGGGCATTTACAGAGGAAGTGGGTGCACCTGAAATTATTATTGTTTTTGATCAGAGAAGCCCTTTTGCTGTATCCCAGACAAAGCCAGCAAGCAGGCTGTGCTTTCATCTCTGGGGGCTCCTTCCCTCCCCCCACTCGGCTRCGTGTGATCCTCTCTCGCAGAAGTAATCAGCGCACAGCTTAGGGAACAAGAGTTCATTGCTGCCTGCTCCTGACTCGTAACATCTGCAGGGAGGCTTCACGGGACCAGACMGGGAGCGTAAACACGCCTTTGACAGAAACCAAATCAAGGTTGCCTTCTGCTTAAATGAAGTAATTAAACTCCCTTACCTGCCACCCCAGCAACATTTTTCCAGCTAATGTTTTTCTTTTCCACAAACGTTCTCCAAAGGACTTAACAGCAATAAAGAAATGCTCCCGGTCCATGTAGTTGAGCAGTAGTGCCTTGATGGGTCCCAGTACCCGGGTGTTCCCCACACTGGGGTTACACAGACACACACACACATGCAMAGTCAAAGGACGTGCCACACACATGAGCAGCGGGGTACAGACCTGAAGCTCTGTTTCCAGAAGTGGCCCACCTGGTTCACTGTTTAGCCAGTCATAGTTCCCCCTGTCAGCATGTCCAAAATTTTTCAGGCTGCTGCCCAAGAGCCACCTCATGCTTTCATGAACCTGCTCTTCTGCCTTGGCGCTCCACCTTCGCYGCTCGCAGCCGCGTCTCCGCCTCCCAGCCTTGACCCAGCCGGGCTGCTCGCAGCTAATGATCCCTCTTAAATGATATCCCCTTTATAGCGGAAAAGAAAAAAAAAGAAGTTAGACACCCCCTCGTCGTCAGGAAGCCAAGCAAATAGATCTCAGAGCCTCTCTCCACTTCCAACTCAATCTCTCTGGATTTGCTTCGGTGGCCTACATTACCAGCAAAGCTGGCATCAGGTATCTGGGAGCTGGGGCTGATAGCGCTCTGATTGGAGCACTCCCTGCATTAGGATTATTAAAAGGGGAATTTGCATGTGAATCTGAGCCCACATGGTCATGACTCCGCGTGGATAAATAACGCTCTATATTTAGTTATCTAATAAACACTATTTCCAACAAAATAAAATAAATAAAACCCCTGCTTCTGTGTTGAGAGTGAAAGGGTAAYTGAGGTTCCCCCCTCAGTTACACAGCACAAGGAGGAACCACAATCCAGGCAGGTTTTTCTTTCCTGTCGCTGAAACATACAGAAAAGAGAGTGGTTTCTGAGTAGAGAGGCAAGGACACAGGGCTAAATGCTGTACTGAATTATTTAGCAGTGTTAGGATGTAGATGTTAATGATAAATCCAGAGAGAGAGAGAGCTCTGCCAGGAAAGCTTTGGTCACTGTGAGAGTGGATGATTGCTTCTGGTAAAAACGRGTAGTCAGTTCAGTTCCATCAGGTTCACAGCTTTCTAGGATACTCGTTAAATGGCAATTTAACCTTCCAGCAAGAAGACTTTGAGCTGTTTATCCAAAACAAAGCAATATGAACTTGTTTGACTGATATGTGGTAACTTCTGAAGGGAGGATTATTTAACCTGAGTTGCAAGGTGAATCAAGGTTTAACTCGTGCTAAAAGTTGGATGTATCTTTTGCTGCTGCCTCACTGTGAGCAGAGGGAAAGCTGCTGCTGAATGTCCCTTTTGTCTGTGGTGCATTTCGGATGATTCCTCAAGGCTTATCTGTCCAAGAAACAGTTGTTTAAGAATGATGGTAGAAAATTCGAGTTAGAATCTTAACCTCTTATTTCTTGCTTGGACTTTTTTCATCAACTCTTCTTTTAGTTCATGGCTCCCAGAAAATCACAGGCTTAGGTGTCAGCAGCAGGCTCTGCTCCTGCAGCTCCAACAGTGGCAGYGCCAGGGCTCGCCGTTCCCAACAAGAGGACTCTGGAAGAACCCGATCCAAAGCTGGCTGTGATTCCTGTATCTGCAGCTTGCAGGAGGGATTCACCCTGCAGGTGAACCATGGATGCAGGAGAGAGGTGATRGTTTGATAAATCTATCCTGTTTTGTTATGGAAGTTGCTGGGTGAGGAGTGGCCAGGGCACGGCGATATTGCACGGAGGGCTGGTCTCGTCCTGAAGCAGCCACAGCGTTTGGGAAATTGAGCTCTGACTTCTGCTGAGGAGGTCCTGAGAGAAGCAGAAAGCTCACCTCAGCACAGCCTTTGCAGCTTGTGAAAAGATCCTCCTCTCCTCAGTGCTTGCCACCTTGGAAAGCCCTTCCAGAGCTGCTCAGTGTGTCCAGCTTCACCAGGCCCAGGGGAGATCACGCTGTGGGTTACGATGTCACCTGAGGAGCCAGGTCCCAAATGTGGTCTCACAGGTCACACTGAGGTAGTGAAATATCTGACTGGACGTCTCAACACCTTGCATAGCAGAGAGAGTGACGACTGTCTTTCCCAAACCRGTGTTGAGAAAATAAATTCCTTAAGGATCTTGTGACTACGTAGCTTAAATCTATAATCTCACGTGCAAGTAGGAAACACTCTATACTATCTTAATTAGGGTCTTAGTGCAGCCCCTAAGATTATTAATGCTATTTTTAAAAGCTTGCTGTAAATTTGCTTTGGGACTGTGCATGAATAATGAGAAGAAGTAAAAAAAATACTTCTCCTTACAGTATAAACACCCTGTTCAGTATCCTTGGACTCTAGTTGATGAGTTTTAGCCAAGAAAAACATGGTATGCGCTTTTAAGACTCACTGACCTGATTTGTCAAGTGCTGCTTTGCATTCTTGACCTTTGGAAAAATGTCTAAGAACGATTTAACTTTGTAGAGCTGAGGCCAAGTGGGAATTTGGGGAAATGCAGTGCCTTTTGTCATGGAGATAATTAACATATAAAATAATGACTGTCCCTCTGGCTTTCTGTATCATCGGTGGACCCAGCAGCAGGATTGGAGGGCATGATTGGGATTCCCTCTTTCTGCTGCCAGGGGTCAGGTGTCCATTTGCTGCACTGCCTTTCAGAGCAGACCTGCTCTTGTGCAGGACTGAGACAGAGCCACTCAAAACCGGGCTTGTGACTGCAAATCTGGGAGATCTTGAAGATTTCCTCTAGCCCTGTGAGGCACAGGTGACACTTGTTTTTCCTTGTCACAAGGAGCTCATAAATACCATGGTAGCTTAGGCATGCTGTACTGGGAAAGCTGGAGTGAGGAGGCTCATCCTTAATTCCAAGCCCCTTGGCCAGATGTCAAGCCTGACACTTTGAAGTGTGGGTCAGGTTCAGAGATCATCAGACCTTGACATGGACAAAACGTCCTGCCCTCTCCTCCACTGGCTTTGTTCTTTAAAATACTTTGATCTAGAAGTTGCCAAACATTCTGGAGAAAAGAGCTGACATGGAATGGTACTACTGACTTTGATTTAAGTTTGGTAAAGGTTTGTGAAACAATGCCAACATTATGTTTTTAATCGAGGCAGTTTTGCTATTATCACTCCCAATGTCCGAGCAGGGAAGCAGGGAGAGGCTTTCTGAGGAAGCCACTGCAGAAAATAGGCACTTCCAGCATCCTTAGTTTGAAGCTAAAACTGTGTGTCATAAATTATTCATCTCTCTGATTTGCTGAGATGTTCGAGGCCAGCAGTGTAATTCTAGGCTGTATTGCCACTAATATTGGTAGGGAACACAATATCCACAGTGCCCTCGACGCGCCTTTCAAGTTTCTTGCTACTTTCTTAGCCCAGTTTCTTTTGCTGCTGTCCACAGATGGCGGTGAAAGTTCTCTGCTTGAATGGCTATGATGCTGTGAGGGAGGGTATGAGAGCTAATCTGAGTAATAAAAATTAGAGTTTTAGTGGGTGAGATGTTAGCACTGTTGGCATTCCTGTGTTGGCAGGTGTAGATACACGGGGTGGAATGGAGGGAGATGATGACTTTTGTGGTAGGTGCTCCTGTGTCCTTCTCAAGGGAGTGGTGTTGGCTGCTGTCCATTCTCTCCCACCTGGGTAATTAAGCAATTCTGGTTTGTACTTTTATTGATAAATTTCTATTATATTGAGATTTTAGCTTTACTTTTTTTTTGGTTAATTATCAATACATTTGTTTTTCAAAAACAAAGCTATTTCTGAAGAGCAACCTCCTCTCCCCACCAAAATAAACCCACTGTTGTTTGAGGACAGGGTGGATGCACTCACAGCCTGTGGAAGCAGAGGCAGGGAGACCCAGCTACCTTTGTGCACACTGGTGTGTCCCTTGGCATGGGGAGCAGGAGGAGGCTCTGCTGAGGTATTGATCCCTGTTGCCTGTGCTGCAGTTGGGGAGCTGAAAGCAAAACCATTAGAGAGAGTGYCAGGGACAGACCTCAGGCTGCTGCCAGAGCAGGGTGGCCTCCTACAGAATGTTCTCAGAGTTCTGTAACTCTGTTTTCAAGATCACACTTGAAAAGCTCTGTGGTCATGGCAGTGCTGGTGGCTGAGCAGTTTCCATCTGATGATACTGTCTAGAGCTATGGGATTTTATGATGTACTTTTTTTTTGTAATTTCTGTCAATCTAGGTTTGATTCACTTCCTTAACATTAGGTCATCCTCGCCCTGAATTCTTGTTTTCTCTTATTAAAGAGAAAAATCTGCCACTCTATTTAAGAGTGTGTATCTGCTAGTATGCACTCTATGGCACTTTGTTTCTATTTAGTCAAACTACAGAAATTCTTTGTTTATTGGGAAGTGGGGGGAGGGGMTGATGTTGTGATTGGGGTTTTGGTGATTTGGTTTTTTTTTCAGCATTTCTGAAGAGCCAGCTGACCACATTRTGCTTTTGCTTGCATTTGCTTTTAGAAGTGTTACCATAAGCTTAGTGAGAGATTAAGTATTTTGCTACTTTATAAGGATGATATTCTAAAAAGAGACAAAATGGATTAGAAATGCTTCAGGCAAAGACTGAGGAAATAGAAAGGCACCAACTAGAGAAAAATGTCAGGGCTGCTGGYATGTCTAAAGGGGACAAAGGCTCCRTGGCATTAGGTAGCCAGGAGATGGGTAGAGAGAGAGCCGGGGGAAGGGCTGTCTGTGTGTGGCTGTGAAGAAGAGGCAAATGTTGCTAGGAGGAGGAGATCTGGTCCTATATTGTGTGAAAGCTTTCTTTTTGCAGTATATCAAAATAAATAAAGCCCCCATAAGTAAAAAGCAGTAATGCCTTAAATATAGCTGAGAAAACCTGCACTGAGATTTTGTGTAGAAAATATTAATTTGGTAGCAATATAGTATGCCTCCTCGTTTCAGTTTTTTTTTTTTAAATAAAGTTCATCCCACTTAGTACCAGGAATGCAGCATTATTTTAAGTTAAGCCATTAAAAATAAGGCTGAACTATTTCTTTCTTGACAATAACAATAACAAAGGAGAAATATTCTATGTCTGTGATATCTTTGCCCAACAGATTTTCTAACAGGGCTGTAAAACTTGCCCGCATTTAAATACCAACTATGGGCAATATTATAAATGAYAATATTTGTAGTATCTAAAATGATGGTTGTGTCTGTCCTTTTACAAGGCTTTGGGAAGCAGAGCAGATGTGTTTGTTAGCCTGATCCTAAAGAATGGCACCCAGGCTTTTTGTACCACTTGTCCACACTTTATTTCTTTTGCTCCTTTCTTCCAATAATATTTGCCAGTTTTCCTGGTTCTGGCCAGGCCAAGGTTAATCTTTTGCAGTATCTGGGAGGGGGCATGGACAGGATGTAGAGGTTATTCTATAACACCCCATGCCATGGCCAGGGGTGGGGAGAAAGAGACTCTTMCAGGGTGAGAGGGGTCCTTCCAGGTGAGAAAATGTGGTGGACAGAGAGTCTTGACCGGAGGGAGCGTTTGGGGTACAGTGGCTGCAGTTG